CCAGCAGCTGTCTCTCTAGACAAACTCTACCCCACCAGCTCGCAGGCCACAAGTCCTGTGTCTTAAATTACAAAAAGGCTTCATCATAGTATCATTCTCCCCCAGCCATTTATCTTCTTGCGTATGACAGCCAAGGAGCAGGTCTTAGGAAGAAAAGTAGTACAACTTTTGTCAGATATAACGAGACTGTTTAATCTGCCTAATTTAGCATTAGGATGATGAGCTCTGCTTGTGTAACAGCATCTTTTCCTCATCCTTTGCATAACAAAGCACTGTTGTAGCATGTGTTTTATATTAATACGTTGATTGTTCATCATATTGAACTGTATAAGTTTAATTTACTTGCTTCAGATAGCATTTTGTAAGAGAGTTTCACTTTATTCTGAATTCAAGACTTACAATGAATCATTTACTATTGCTTAATAGATCAGTTACAAGGAATTTGCAGCGTTTGCGTTGCCAGATTGTGACAAATCCATCTTTGTATTTGGTATTAATAGACTGTTATTACATTAATAAATACTTGTGGGTTACACACTTTGTAAGAAGCCAGCAAGCCTGCAGTTATACAGGTTAATAGGTTGTCCAGATTCTCTGCAGGTTGTTCTTATTTATGTTTTATAACTGATTTATTAAGCATTATTACATGATTTATTAATAAAGCCACTGGTTACAATTTACCTTCATGAAGGGGAATCATTAGAAGGTAGTACCAATACATTTACTGCCATGTAGCACGCGCCTCCTTTAATTAAAAGCAGGCTGTCTGTACAATGAGTTTCCCCCTAGTTAAGCTGTGTCTCCTGCATTATACAACATCCGTGTCATAAGTAGGTATTTCTCGGGAGAGCACATGTTGGTAACTTCCTTTAGTCGGGCTTCAAACACTCAAAGCAAACTCGATTCATCATTCTGCACACGGCGCACACAGGCATCTTATGCAACGAGCCTTCAAAACACTATTTGGTTACAGGGCATGATCCCGACATCAAGGAGGCAATCAATCCCATCATGCACCAGGGTGACGTTGGGAGATTGGAAGAGGGGGAAAGCGTGGTTGGACTAGATAACTGTGAAATGACAAGCATGAAATGTGACCCAGGGTTAAAACTCTGGAGTAAGATGACTTCTGGACGAGACGTCTGAGGATTATAAATCTCTTCTTAAGACATACTATACCTCTAATAGCCTTTGAACTGTGTTCTTTTAGCATTTAGTGACTATTTATTATCATTGCCGACCCTAATGTCCGGACACTGACCATTCAAGATTAAGATTAAAACTTCTATATGTACGTTTAATGTTTATATACATTTATAAATATTCTTTGTGAAACACGGCTCGTCCACTAATCACAAGGTCATCCTGCTGCGTGCTGAAGTGTCCTTGAGCAAGACACTGAACCTCAGATTGCTCTCAGGCTGTGCCATCAGCGTGTGAATGACTTATATATAAAGTACAGTGCATATACCATTTACCATTAATAAACTATACACACTATATTGTGAATTAATGTTATTTCAGCTTCAGTCAGTCTTTCATTAGACAGTATGGCATTATGGGAGTTACACGGAAGGTTATTCGTTTTGCTGGTATTTTGCAAAAAGTGCAGTATTTGGACCTGATGGTGGCGCTAGATGAAAAGCCAGAGGATCACCAGTGTTATTAGGATTCATCCTCTGGGGATACCGAGCGTCTGTGGAAACTGTTACGGCCATCCATCGAATAGTTGTTGAGAGACCAACACATGTTTTTAAAATCCTACAATAATCTATGTATATATGTGTATGTATTTGTATGTTTTGGGACAGAATGAGTAGTTACAAAGAATGAAATACCTGTTTTTGAATATTAGTCTAAAACTGTTTTATTGTGTAATAACATTTTGATTATAGGTAGATTTTACACTCACAAATGACTAAAAATCTCCTTTAAATCCTTAAGAAAGTTAATTTAATCTAACCTATATTTCAGTTTTGTTTATTTAAGTGTTGGTTCTATTTTCAGTTTTTTTTTTTTAAAGTATGCTGCTTGAAATCATTATGTTTAACAACCACTGATGATGCATTGAAGATGTTTAATAAAGTGATTTTTCCCCCAAAACAAACTTCTATAAAAAGTCCCTTTTTCTCGCCAAACAACTGAAGTTAATGTCAGGCACTAAAAACCTGTATTGTTTCCTCGTGTGCAGCGTCTGAGCGTCGTGCAAACCTTTGTACACACAGAGCGAAAAACAAAGTGGAACAACATCAGTGGGATTCTTGATGCTATGCTAATTGAAAACGACGCAAACACACACGCACACACAAAACCACAGAGGAAACAAGCTGTACAACAAAACCTTTTAACCTGGAGGGATGAGAGAGAGCACGCAGTAAACACTGATTAAATAACCTCTGCTGTGTGAGCGCTGTGTCAGACCTTCCAAGGTCACACCATGTTCCGGTGTCTTCCTCGACTTTCTGAGTGACTGATTTGTTTCTAATGGGTTCGAGGGAGAGACGGCCCGCTTCTACGGCGGAGAAAAACACTTCTGACAGACCGCTGGAAGATACGGAAGAAGGGATGGATGTTTCAGGAAGTCTGTGTTACCCGGCCTGTACAGTCGATAAGTCTGTGCCAACTTGTACCTTTACTTTTATCCCTCAAACACAACCTCAGAGTGTGTGAGAGTAGCAGGAGTGATACGGAGACGCTACCTGCCAGTCAGCCCCGCACACTGCCTGTAGCAGGGCTTCGGACGCTTCTCCAACACACACACGGGCTCAAACGCACGCAGAAGTGCACACACACACTCACACACACTCCTATGTACAAGCTCGGCTGCCTCACGCTGTGACTAATCTCACACCTCACAGAGGCTCTGCTCTTCCTCCTCCTCCTCCTCCTCCTCCTTCATACATAAAAAAAACACAGCATCAATGGAGAGAGAGAAAGAAGAGAAACAGCCCATGAGGAGCAGACCTTGGACCAAAAAATGAAACCAATTTATGACGGCTAGGCGTCTGTCTCATCATGAATCACGCTTCCTGACCTCCACGTCTCCATGGCGACGATGGTGCAGTGCCATTTTCATCTGCTGACTGCAGCTTTGCCGTCGCCTCTGCCCCCGTTTGGTCTTGCGAGGATGAAAGTGTCAAAGTGATCCCTTCCCGCCACTTAAAACTAAAATCTGGAGATGTTGTGTCAATAAATATTGATAGCCAATGAACTCTGACCCCCCCAAAAACACGCATATGCCTGAACACGTGGCTCTGATGAGAATAAACCTGACAGATAATCAAACGTCTGCTTATAATTTCCTCTCTAATCCGAGTGTGGCCTGGCTCAGTGGCAACAAAAAAATAAATAAAACTAGGGAGACTTGTCGGACTGCTGCAGGAATTAAATTAGTGTCTGGTGGTCTGACAACTTTGTGTGCAGGACAAGGCCCTGAGGAGCCAGTGTGAGGGGGGGGGCTCCACTGTCAAGTCACAGCATGAATGCAACTGTTAAGAAGGAGACAGTGTGTTTAGTTGGCATAATAACAATAATAATAATAATAATAATAATAATAATAAAAGCCTGCAAGGTCACGATATGATATAAATAGGAATCGGACAGTCCCACCAAAATCATATTAAAACAACAAACAATAAAGATATATATTTTTAAGTGTTTTAAAAGGTGTCACTGATATGTTGCAAAGTGCTGTCCGATTCCTATTTATATCATATCGTGACCTTGCAGGCTTTTATACTCAAACACTCACCAGGTGACGTCAGCCAAGTCTGTGAGGGTTTGGGGTTCAGGCTTTAGGGTTGAGATTGAGTTTGGGCCTGTAAGGTGTCTGCCAACAGTCTTAAAGTAGCAACAAGGAACTTTCTTTTGTTGTTGATTGTGGCGGCCCCTGTGGACAAAAGTAGTAGTGTTTCTCCCACCTTGTTTCATTGAGTTTAAGGGGATCCGACCAAATCCGATCTGTTGGCAGGAATGAAGAATAACCATATAGAAAAAGCCAATTTTCATACTGATGGTCATATAAAAAGGTTAAATTGAGACTTTTTGAGACGTTTCATAATCAGCTAAAAAGTCCTTATAGGTATAAATTGCCATTTTCACTAAAAATTATAAAAATATATTTTCCATGTTTACCCTGTCTACTATCCCAAATATGTAAAAAAAAAAAAAATTTTATATCATCTACTTTTCTGACATCTCATCATGTGCTGTGGCACGTAGACAAACTGTCATCCAATAAAAAGTAATCTTGGATTTTTGGGAGAGATTAGTTGACCCGGTTATATAAAACTGCACGTCGTCTGCCAAGCTAATCAGCACAACTGCAGCAGTATTAACATCCGTCGGGGAGATGTCAGGTAATTTAAGGTTACTATGATGGATTTCTTGATTTCTGAAGTGTCTAGCCTCTTGCATTTGAAAAGTTTGCTTTAAAAGTCCTTGCTAGAAACACAAGGTTGTTCTCAGTGTCACTGGAACATATGAGCTTATTCAGCTCAACAAGACTGAGGTAACAGATTTCAGGAGCAGGTTTGACAGAATGGGGATCTCCACAATCCACAGGGACCTCAGATTCAAGCTGCTGCTTCTCTACATTAAAAGAGAAAGCTGATGTAGTTTGGACACCTGGTTATGTTGTCCCGACAGCCTGGACACACTACCAGTGTGAGCTGTGGGTGATGCTACTCATCATTCCTAAGAATGTTTTAAATAAGACCACAGCTAAAAAATGTTTGCGGTTTATGAACG